TTCAGTAAGTCCTAAGTTTACTATTTAACCAGTAAATGATGTATATATTGTTTGTAAAAGGATTTTAAGTGAAATCATAATTACAATGTATCTAAGCTATAATTATTAAGTATAAACAAATTCATTCTTTAGATAACAATCTTTTTTCTTCACTTCCTGTTTTAGGTTTTAACATTATAATAAACAAGACATTTATAACTTTTTTCCCAAGACTTAAAACTCCTTAATTGAATTATTGAAACTATGTGACTGTATCTAATATCTTACCATTGTATATTATATTATATTTTAATTAAAACAATGGGACGAGATTTCTATATTGACATATTGTTAAATTTCATTATGAATTCCTAAATCGATTCTTAAAGTGGAATATTTCATTTATTATGAGTATAGGGTTGTAGAGATTGTCAAATTTTTAATTGAGATCATCAACCAATTAATGTTCGATCACCACTGAAAACCTGAAAGCACCGGACGGCCGTTTAATTCTAGTATGACTAGTGAAGCTAATCTGTGTCGGATGTGAGGCAATTACTCACCGAAGACAGTGGAAGATGGACGCGCAATTTTGTGGATTGGTTGAAGTTAGATATAAACACCGTTGGATGCCGGGCCAGTGGTCTAGAGGTTAGGCATTGACACGTGAGACCGAAAATCCTGGGTTTGAATTCTACGTGCCGGACCGTGGGTGCTCACTGCTGAGAATTTCCGCTCTAGGTCGAGACGGCTGTCCAGTGCTTCTAGGTTTTCAGTGGTGGCCTAGCATTGATCCATTCACAATCACAGTTCTATTTATTTCATGCTTTTGGCAACAAGAAGAATAATAATCACTTGAAACTTTATTCACAAGATATTTAAAAAAATAACTTATTCAATCTTTTTATCGATGGCCAATAAAGAGACTTATGTCATTATAATAGAATAAGATACTTGGCTTCCCTTAAGGTTCATATGTTTTTTAAATAATTATTACCAGATGTATGTTAATTTAAAGCAATAATGCTCCAGTGTGCAATTCTATCGATTGAAATGTAGGACAGTTGAATAATGATCGAATCCCTAAACTTATATCTATTCAGCACTTGGTCTAAATGTCACTTAAAAGTTATTCAATTAGGTAAGAGAGTGAAATCACTATTCTTTGCACAAAGTATACAGCTTGAATTCGAATATGTAAAATTCTATTTGATAAATAAATGACGTAAGTCACTTAAAACTATGAGAAGATGGTCTTCTTATAGCTTAAGATATGTGGTGAAAGAGTACTCTACTGACAGATCAATTAAATTTAAGATAGTGGTTGTTGAGTTTTTCTACCAAATTCAAAACAAGATTATGGATAATGTATATCTTATTAAAGGCTCAATGAATAATACTAACATTTAGTTGCTAACTTGGTTAGAATTGGTAGAAAATAAGAAGATTAAACAATAGAAACTATGATTTATAAAGTTTAAAGATAACTTAAGAGTCACAATTGATTGATCACTGGGTGGCGATCAATGTCATGCGTGTCTAGTCCTTGTTAGTGCAGATCGAATGCTATCGACCATTTTGCAATGTGGCCACCAGTCTAGATGACTCGACATTGCGGGCACTATGTATATACCTCCAACCACCATCTAATCTCAATATACAGTTCCCGCAGTGTCGAGTCACCTAAACTAGTACCACATTGCGGGATGAGGTCACTATAAATTATTCATCAACTCGACTTCTTTTCACTACTTCTAATCGTCAATGCAATACTTTCATAATAGTCTTAACCCAGACATAACTTTTATGTACTTCCTTGTAATAAATTATTCAGGAATATCAAGTTCATTTTGAGTTGTTGAAAATCCGATTAATTTGTGAAGGATATTGTAAAATCTTTAAAGATTACATGTTTAGTTTATCCAACCATATACATTAATATATATCTCTTCTAATTTTACAATATTCACTATTATAAACTGATTGGTTCGACTAATGACTTTTAATAGAACAATGAACTGATTACAATCGAAATGAATCTTCGATTTCATTAAACATAAATTGGTATTTTATTAATTGAATTCATGAGTCAATTGAAGCTAGGCCACCACGGAAAACCTGGAAGTACTGGATGGCCATTTCATTCTAGTATGGGACTCCTCAGAAGTTCGTATCCACGATCCCGCCTCGCGAGATTCGAACCCAAGAGCTATCAGTCTCATTCGCGAACGCTTAACTTCTAGACCACTAAGCCATCATCCATCAGTGTTAATGTCTAACTTCAACCAATCCACAAAATTACACCACCGTCCATCATTGTCATCAGTGAGCTACTATCTCACAACAAACCCGATTGAACTCCACTGGTCACTGCTTCTCACTAGAACTCCAGGAAATAACCCTTGGAGACAGTTACTATCGAGCATATGATGATGATAATCAGAGAGGGATTTCATGAACATTGTATCAATTAAATAATTGAATTCATGACTCAATAAACTGATATCTATCAATCAATTAATCTATTTATGAATTGAATATTCAATGAAATTGTATTTAATCATAAGTAAAAATTTCAAGTCACTTTAAGTTATTCATTAAAGTTTCACTATGTTTTCAAAGAAACTCCTTTTTTTTAAAATGATAAATTAAAACATTAATCCATTCATGATATCAATCAAAATTTAATTAGAGTAAATGTGTTTCTATCTTTTATACCTTAAAAGTACAATCGAATAAATTTAACTAAACATAAAGACAATTTGAACCTCAATGGAATTCATGTGTCTTAAATATGTTATTGTTCCATGGAAACATCCAAAAACACAAACACACACAAAAAAAAGAAGAAAAAGAAAATAAAGGACAAAAGTTAGAAAGAGAGGAATGAAGAGAACTGGAAAAAAGAAGAACAAAGACTCACAAAACAATAGAAAATAAACAAAATAAAGAATTCGCGAGAAAAATATATGTATATACAAGCGATTTGTTATATAACGATGAAAAATAATAAATCATTCCCAGTTGATAATGATAATGAAAACGAGTACAAGTATTCGTGGTTGTAAATAGGTTCGCACTCGCACACATACACACGCACACGCACAAAAGAATGTGTAATAACACATGTTGAAAAACTCTTACTACTCACTAGTAAACAATTAAAACAAAAATGTTTAATAAACCTCAAATAGGCATAAAACACATGCACATAGTAACTGAGATGTACAATACAACGTACTATTTAACATCTTAATGAGAAGAAAAAATAATATAAAATTTCTCAATTTTTTATTTATTTTGTTCTAATGAATGCCTCATTAATAACTGTAGTTCTTTTTTCATATACAGATATTTATGATTTTAATTTGTTTTCCCTTGTAAACGAAAGTACATCTTTTGGGCCATGTATTTATGTTTATTGTTATCAACTTTTAATGAAGTAATATATTTTTGCGGAGGGAGGGAGGAATTTTATTGAAACATAATTTGTTTTAAGTAATAGATTCATAATCTATATTAATAGTTGAATTCATGTGTCAATTGAAGCTAGACCATCATGGAAAACCTGCAAGTACTGGATTGCTGTTTCATCTTAGTATGGGGTTCTTCAGGAGTGCTCATCCACGATCCCACCTCGCGAGATTCGAAGCGTTGGCGCTTTATCTCTAAACCACTGAGCTGGCATCCAATGGTGTTAATGTCTAACTTCAAACCAGCTATTAGAATTACTGTAATATCCACAAAACCCCTCTCTGATCATAATCTATCTTTTTTTTTAAAATTACGTTTAATTTAAAGTATTTTTAATAAGATGATATAAGTTGTTCACTCATAACTTATTTCAAGACAAGTTTTTGAAGTTCTTTTGAAAAATTATGATAAATGGAGTTCAACATAATTGATAATGAAGTAGTTGCTACCAATAACATTTGATGATGATTGTGTTATATCATGAATTGATCAATAAAATTTTTATCATTATACATCATTGTATTGTCTGATGGTAAAGCATTCACCATGAAACTTAAAAGCTCTAATATCGCGGGTAGACTTTTCTAAATCACCATGCACTGGTATAAAATAGTTGTCCAATCGTCCATGGTTTGCGATGATAATCAAGGGAGATCGATCCATAATGAATATCACTAGAAGACTTAAAATTAAATAATTACAATATTCCATCTAATAATTTGCCTGGAATCCTTGTCTAGGACTACTCAGAATTGCATACTCATGACCCTATATGAGATCGGAATTGAGATTATCTGAATTCGAAATTAACACAAAACAGTTCTTGTTTGTTGGTTTTCATTTTTGACTGTAATGAGTTTGTGATATGACATAACTCTCATCTAATATTATCCATTTCATTTCAGATATTTTTGAAATTTACTTACTGGTTAGCGTTTTTTTAGCGAGTTAGTTTTCTACGGGATGGGTTCGCTAACCCCATGCCCAACCCTCCTCCTTTATCCGAACTTGGGACCGGCAGTAGCCCCCGGAGGGACTCCAGGTGGAGTTAGTTTTGAAATTTACCAACCACAAATTTACATTAGGATTTCAATATTCTATTTTAGAGTTGATAATTTGTCAGCATAAGATTAGTAGTAATCTAAGATTTGGGACCACTGACTTATTATATTATTGTATTTACTATCATATTTTAAGCTACTATGTTCAACTAAATGTGTATGGTTATAGGTGAATACCAGATTAGAACTATTAAAGTGGAACAAAACAACTGACCAATTATACACTTAACAGCTCTTTGTAATGATGATCAGGATCACATTGATATATCTCTACAAACAAGTTCCCTATCTTAATGAGCTTCTTTATATTACAAGTACGGGATGGTAGAAGTAGTGGTGTGAGTGGTAATAATAATAATAATAATCATAGAAAGAAATGTGTATTTCAACTATTTGGGAAGTATTGATTTAAATTACTATTAACTGAAATAACATTACAATTACAATTCATTTCTAATTCCTTTAAATTGTATATATTTTTTCTAGGTAAACCAATTCAATGTTGGGTACCACAAGAATTTACTAAATCATGGGAAGAATATGCTGAAAATTTATGTTGGGTATCAAACACATATTTTTTATTACCTAATGAAGAAATACCAACAGATCAAGTAGATTATGAAAAAGTTAAATTTATTGGTTATTATCAATGGGTTGCAATAGTTTTAGCTGGTCAAGCTATGATGTCATGGGTTCCACATTTATTATGGCGTGTTGGTTCAAGACGTTTACCATTATTATTAAAATCAGCAAGAGAAGCCGCTATACCAGATCGTGAATTACGTTTAAAAGCGGTATCATGTTTAGTAGCTACATTAGAAGAACAAGCTGAATCTCAATCAAGATTTCGACGAATTAAATCAATATTAACTCGTTGTTTATGTGGTGTTACACCAAATGCACGTTTAACTATGTTATTTTTATTTGTAAGAGCATTATTTGTAGCTAATTCAGTTGGACAAATTTATTTAATGAAACGTTTTACCGGTTTTAATAGTACCGTATTTGGATTAAGATTATTACAAGATTTATCAGCTGGTGTTGAATGGGAACGAACTGGACATTTTCCCCGTGTTACATATTGTACTATAAAAGTTCGTAAAATGGGTCAAACTAAACCAGCAAGGTAAGTTATATGTATATATATATATATTTAATACTTTATAAATTGATTCTAGTTTTATGCATAAATATATGATTTGTCAGTTTTTTTGTTTATTATTGAATATTGAAATTTTGATAAGGATACATCTCTTGTATCTATCATAATCTAAAGCTATGTATGAATGAATACCTAATAGGCAGATTTATTAAACGGGATTTTGATAGTTGCCATAAAATTCTAGATAGTTGACAACAGTCTAAAGGTTCATTTTTTTCACTATAAAAAACAAACAAAAAAACTAGAATTGGTTTCGTTAATGATCTTGACTTGAAATTATTATATTGTCTATAAAACTCTTTGTTGAACTGAAGATAAATAAAAATCATACATCTGAAGAATTAAAACTTCAATCTTCATCCCATAATTTGTCAGTTTTAGACATAAAGCATCGATATTTTTTTATGAAACAACATGATCTCCTAGTTACTGTTAACTTACTTCATTACTTAACATATTCAAAATTGACTTTTTGGATATGATAATTATGAAATATTGTTCTAGAAAGTCCCCCTTTACTTAGAATTGTCAGATTAATCTTATATTCTCTTCAACTATCTCATACTATTTGTTACTATCTGATTAAGTCAACTTATTATTTTCTTTTTCAATTCAAAAATCTTCAGTAACTTTGCTTTAACGATCTTTTTAATCTTTTTTTTATTTTTATTTTTCAAAATGTAATTAATCGATAATGTTCTTTTTCAAGTTTCCTATTGATCATCATGTCTAGGTAAATCATTTTATTTATAGGATCTCTTATAGGATCAATCTAGTTTTGCCTTTTTTCTTTTCTTTGAATACTTAATCTAATCAGTATTATGTAATCCATTTTTAACATGATGTTTCAATTTTTTTAAAATTTTATTATGGATTGATTGAAGTTAAACATTAACACCGTTGAATTCCAAACTACCCAGTGGTCTAGTTGGTTAGGCACCTGGCGCAAGACTGATAGGTCCTGGGTTCGAATGTCGCGAGGTGGGGTCATGGATGTGCACTGCTGAGGAGTCCCATACTAGGACGAAACGGCCGTCCAGTGCTTCCAGATTTTCCATGGTGGTCTAGCATCAATTGACTTATGATTTCAATTAGTGTACTACAGAAATCTTTGAATTCTATAATTATTCTTTTCTGACCCCCCTCTCTTTCTCTATAAAGATCCAACAAGAAAAATTAGTTAGGAATGGGAAAATTACTTTTGAACTTATTCATAAGATCAATAATAATTCTTTTTATACATAGATAGGTATACTGAAAATACAAATGTATGTATATGTTTATCTTTCATAGAGAACATATTTGTAGGTATGAAGAGATTTAAGTTGTATAGTGGATATTCTATAAATTATAAGTTGTAATTAGACATAGAAAAAGAATATTCTTACCAATAATTAATTAAGAGAATAGTTTCTTATTATTATTATTATTTTTTCATTGTTTCACATTTAATTATAACTAAGATGAAAGCTTACAAGTAAACTATACTTGAAGACCAACATGACAAATGAATGATTAGAAGGAAGGGGGGAAAGATTTATAGTATATGAGTATGTTTAGATTTAGACTTTAGTATATTTCATTCTGAATAAAGAATATTGTATTTAATGAATGATTAAATCGCTAAGGTATATTTAATTATTCATGAAATCTATGGAAGATTATATTAGAAAATAAATGTGTTGTTATGAGTTTATAATGTATAAATGAAATTTTGAAGAACAAATGTGAAGAGATAGGATATTGATATTTAAGTGTGTGGTCGGTACAAAGTTGTATTATAGTGAATAAGAAAACTAGTGAGGACAACTAGGATGTATTTTAATACAAAACTATAGAATATCTTTGTAAAATCTAAAGATTATATAGTAAATACTTCATTTGCAAGACGTCTACTAATTATCTCAGACTTTGTTGTTCCTTCATTTCTATACCAGTCATTCTCTGTTCTCGTTGTCTTTTGTTCTATCCTTTTCAACCTTCTTCTCCCAGGCATTCCATTTTTGATTGGTGATACATACAACTTATATCTGTCGACATCAGTAGCACACACTACAATATCATTTGAAAATAAAGTAAACCAAAGAAAATCGTCGTTATTTTAGAAAAATAAAATTAAACTAATTGAATCTTGTTCTAATGAAGTGGTTGTGATATGCATGAATTGTGTAACATGTTACCAAAATAAAATTTGAAACTAGTCCATGAAATTATCGACTGTTTGAATGTTTGTTCTTGCTCTTTTCAAAATTATCGACTGTCATACTGAATAATGTAAGTAGATACAAACTAATTACTCCATGGCTAAATGTGACCAAATGTCAGAGATTTTGGTTGACAGAGGGCAGATGATTCCACTTTTTATCTTTCCTTTAGATTGTAACTTTTTTTGGTCATCTACAAAATATTTTTAACTTGACAAATGTATATTTTTCAAGCTGTGCATGTCTAAATAATGAATGATGGACGCTAACTCAGTGGTTTAGAAGTTAAGCGTTCGCGTGTGAGAGCGATAGGTCCTGGTTTGAAATTTCACGGGGTGGGATCGTGGATGCGCACTGTTAAGGAGTCACACACTAGGACGAAACGGCCGTTCAGTGTTTCCAGATTTTCCATGTTGGTCTAGTTTCAATTGACTCATGAACTCAACTAGTAAATTACTATAATATCCGTAAAACCACTTTCTAATAATAATGAATGAGTGTCTAAATATTTAAATAAAGACTATAGTAATCGACAAAATATTATAATCCATTGTTTGTTCGTTCTTTATTATTAAGTAAAACTTGTGGAATAGAACTGAGTCTAAAATTCTGAAAGAAAATAAAGATGGTATTTTACCATAGTAACTAGTATTCACATCAACGTATATGGTTTCTAAGGTACGATTCACAATCTCTGGGTGTAAAATCAATGTATTCAACTTATTATATTTGAAATAATCTTAGCGATTGAAATTTAAATAATTCCAACGTTTTGTCCAGTAAACTTGACTGGATTGTTACCCTTGAAGAAGTTCAGAAAAGTATACTGGACAAAACGTTGAAATGATTTCAAATTTCAATCTATGAGATTATCTCAAATATAATTTTCACATATAATGACTTCTTTATACTTGGCCCCCAACTTTCGTCAAACTATTCATTCAAATTATCAGAATGAGTTTTGTGGAGATTTTTAGACATTTCACTGGTTGAAATCATGAGTTAATTGAAGCTAGACCAACATGGAAAACCTGAAAGCAGTGTATGGCCGTTTCGTCCTAGTATGGGACTCCTCAGCAGTGCGCATCCACGATCTCGCCCAACGCGGGATTCGAACCCAGTGCTTCCAGGTTTTCCATGGTGGTCTAATTTCAATTGACTCATGTTTTCAACCAGTGAAAGATTCACTCGAATATTGATGAATATTCGTATAAATTCATTCAACTTACTATGAAGATACTTTTAAATCATGAAATAGATTTTCAAAAGTTTGATATGATTTATACAATTCGTTAGGTAAGAAATGAGGTTAGATATTAAATACATTATAGTTTGACTATAAAATTGACAAACTACATTAAATTCATATTTTATTGACTATACAGTATTTTATTCAGTGAAGTCATCTTGATTCCCTCGATCTTTCACTAATATAAACTTGTTGATTGATATTACAATAACATTAAAACAGTTCACTGTGACGCATAGTTTAAATTCTGTGATCCTACTTTTTTAAAACAACAATAATATCTATGTTTGTTCAAACATTCAGCTTAGAGACTGTGACATCACTAGAAAAATTAATCCCTTGAACTTTATTATTATGAAAGTTTCATGAGTAAATTAAAACGACCTTTCATGAATAACCAACTTATTTACATATGTCCTACTTGAGTTAGGGGAAATTTATCAAATCTATCTTAGATTATATACAAGAATAGTACAAAACTAGATAATATAAGTTCTATTTTCATTACTTCAAAAGGTCATCAATTTTTCTTATTATATATCTTCATAATAAACAAAGGGTGAGTGGGTGGGGGAATATATTTCAAGGTCATTTATGGAAATGAAACAACAACAACAACAGCAACTAAAAAATATGGTTAGCTGAAAGTTAGGCCAAATCTGATGATAACAAGTCATATAGAAAATGTTTACCTTAAATGTAATTTCCCTTGAAAGAAAAAAAACTAAAAAAAACCCACTTTAATCAAATTGATTATCTTTTACAATAAATAAATTTTAAAAATTTTTTTTAAAAAAAAAGAAAATTTCACAAAAATAAAAATTCCTTCATAGAAATAGTCTATTTACCTCTTAAAATTATGAATGAATGAATGAATGATCAAAATCTTTTCTTTCTTTTTTTCTTCGTTTCTTTTATTATTCAATATTGACAATGAAAGTTTATGATAAAGTACAATATAAAAGTTTAAGATGAAAATTTTTTTCGTTTGTTGTTTTTTTTAGCTACCGTTTTTGATTGTACACTTATATATATTCATTCATAGTAACACATACATACAACTTATGTTATAGGATATATATATATATATATATATATATATATATATATGGGATATATATAGGGTATATAGATAGGTAGATAGATAGATAGATATTAAATGAAATAAAATTCAAGATTATATCTTTCTTATGAAGCAGAAATGAAGACCTATTTCTATCAGTAACCTTGGTAGTGTAACGTTTGTAAAAATTGTGAATTTGATACAAATTTAAGATATATATATAAATGGGAGAGTGAAATAGAGTAACAGTTGATCACAAACCTGTACTTTTCTCATCAAGTAATTTTAAGGGTCATAGAGGTCATATCATTTCTGTTTTTATTTTTTTATGAAAAGAAAATATTTAAAGTATGATCATAACAACAACAACAGCAACAAAAAAAGTAGAATGAGGGATAGAATGAATGTGATATGATCTGAAAGTTGGTATATATACATACATATATGT